AGTTATCAACAGCTAGTAATAAACCTCTCTTCTTGAAGCTGCGATTCGACTGAGGTATTGTTGGCGACGTACTACAAGAAAGACTGACTGTAGCATTTAGGAGAATGTTCAGTGCAGCTAAAATCTGTCTATAACACTCGACTTGTTAGCCAATGGTGATTTCACATGTCTTTGTATTCATAATAAATTTGTAGCACCTTCATCTTTCCCTTGGCTTTAATAAATGATTTCCTTTATTATTTTTATTTTTCATATGCTTTGTGAGTTTGTTTTTCTTCGCTCCCTCACACCTATATATTCTCTTCCCAAATATGCGCTTCATTGTCCAATTATCAATACACTTCTTGTAATTTTGTTGAATTTTATTTCAGTGTCTATATTGTTTTAATCATTGATCTAATTCTCATTATGAAACGTTGATACAAGCCTTTATTAATCTTACCTCAACTAGTATACTTATCATCACACTACCAATTGGTACTCTTTGATTAATATGTTTATTAATGTAATATTAGATTTGTATGTTGAATTAATTGTCATAGAACAGAGAGGGAATCCCCACAGATGATTAGACGGATGTAAGTTGTTGATGAAGGCCAGAAATGTTCCTCATTCATCAATTTTAAAGTCATAGAAATTTACTGGTCTGTGGTTCAAAGAAATGTACACCACAGTCGTTAGTGTGGTCGACTTCCCTTCGATCAACATCATTCTTATGTTGTCGAAGAATTAGCTGACAAAATTCTGTGATCATGAGAAACTAATCATTGAGTGATAATGAGTACACTTTCATAAATGATAAGCAGTGAAAATTTTATGGCCTGCAGTTTAAGTGATACTAAGTCGTACAAACTGGAACTAATGAGAATTTAGTTGAATGCTTGACGAAGTTATTACAATCTTTCTCTGCGAGTAATAGACTGTATTATTTGGATATGATTTTCGGTACATATGCATCATATCCGTTTCATAGTAGGTGAGAAATATCTACACAATTTTCCTGTAGTGCTCATTCTTTACATCGAATACGCAAACATCTGCAACATGCACTACACCAAATGTCAATCACTCAGAAAACGTAATACATTCAGCTGTACAATTACAGCTGCCCTCAAGTTCATCCGTACTATTTATATCTATCGGCATACGAAGCATACAGAAGAGTTGTAGTTCACATACCAATAATAGGTTTTCATTATTCATGAAACATTGATATTAACAAATCTAGAAGAATATTTGAGGCAGAACAATATTCATTATATTTCATGGTTTCCCATCAGCTGCCTACAACCATATGTGAATTGAGAGGTGATATTGGGGTTTAATATAATGTGCGCATATATATATAAATTCTAGATAACCCTCAACAACAGGTTCGAAGTCTTACAAAATCTACTCAAAAAAAGTAAACCACTATGGGAAATAACTGGAAAGAGATCAAAAAAGCAGGAGCTTCGATGTGTCAGAAGGTGATTAGTCACAAGGAGCATCATTTTAAGGAATGAATCTCTCACTTATAAGTTACTTTATGAAAAAGCTGCACAGTTTTATGTAGACACTAATAAATTAGTGAACTCGAATGTTTTATGTATGAAATATTAAAAAAAGGTTTGCGTTGTCATCATAAAACTGCAAAATTAAGATAATGATTTCGTCTGACTTAATACTTAGATAACATTTCCTATTTCTGTGAAATAAACCTAACTGTATATTTCCAAACATATTAACTGATTAACATTATTACAGACACAAAGATGTTTTCTTTTCAAAATTGTATACTGGTCAACTACATAGATTGGACAGTGTATGTTTGAAAATAAATCTTACGTTGATGAGTTGGCGAAATTACGCAACAAATACTTATTTCACAATGAACCAGTGGCTGATCCGGTATAGCTGAGAGTGGAGATAGTCCGGTCTAACTCTAAATGCTGGTACAAATATACAGACACTACTCATTGTCTTCTCTCAGAGGGACCGCTGTTTTGAAAACTAGAGTTCGAAAAGCGAATGTACGACGCTTTAACCCGGTTAGGTCATGGCTGATTAGGTACGGAATATTCTTTTTGGAGAAGTTGGAACACCCTGATTCCCAACTATTGATGCTCATAGGCTGCAGTATCCTAAGGAAACAAATGGCGTATAAACCCATTGTTGGTCACCGGCTGCCATGGGACTGTATCTCCTGATATTGCTCTCCTACCTGTTAGAATGCAGTAATGGAAATACTAAAATCAAAAAAAGTTTTTTTCTTTTTCCTTAAACATTTTATTAGTGTTCAAGTTGAATGTTCGCTATTACGATTACTCGTAATTTACTAGTATTTGATCACAGATGTCTTAGAGATATTGCTCGCATCTGCTGGGATCACCGGGTAAGCAATAGCGAGATTAAACACAGGGTATTAGGGAATGATGGTAAACCAGTTGATGAGGTCATGAATCTTCATCGACTAAGATGGTTAGGCCACGTGTTACGTGTGCCTGAACACCGATTACCACTGTGGAGATAGAACCTTAAAACCTATTTTGTAAATAATTTTTCATAGTTTTCGCATGTATTTTCATATTCTGTACATTAAGCATTAAACAATTGTACTTGTTGTTTAACTGTATTACATTGAACTCTAGTAATCCTCCTTCCTTCCGTTGTGAGTACAACATACCGTGCCACTGTTAATTCTCCTCAACAAATACACACTAATTCACGTCTGCATCGTTCTGCCCTGTCCGCTAATATGTTGAATGAAATATTAATTGCATACCATCTACGTTTATAGACATTTGCGACATTCTTATTGGATTCTACGCTGGGTAAAACTACTGGATCTATATCGTCTATATTGGGATTATTGCTTTTGTTATAATTGTGGAGTATCTGGACCAAACCCAGCCGAACACGCAATAATCTGAAGACTTAAGTAATGTCCCTTATTTTGTTATTTTTTGTGTGTGATTACTTATTAACTGTTAATTGTCACATAAACTATAGACATAATATTTTTGTTGCTAATTTTTTGGTTATCAAACATTTTGGTCCGCCACAATTATTTGGTGAGCCTCGATTATCTCTTTATAGACATTTACTATATATAGCTACATAATTTAGTATTCTTATTAATCGGCACGATCCCATTTTTTGTTTTTGACATTATGGACTCCCCTAATAAACTTATCGATATTGATGGCTCATTAACCAACTCTTTTCATTCACCACCGTTAGCGTTAGCGCGATACAATCCTCAAATGCAGAAAACATGAGCGATGCACTCAACATCCAACAACAAATAACACTGTTAACACAGCAGCTAGCATCACTGCAGGCGACTGTTGCCACCATCCATTCTCGACCTCCCAGATCTATGTCCAGAAGGAGATCAGTATCCAGACATCGTCTTAGGTCACCTAAGCGGGCAGCCGGAATGTGTTGGTATCATTCGAAGTATGGTGAGAAAGCACGTTGTTGCACAAAACCGTGCAACTTTAAGACAACCAACCCAGTCTATCAGGGAAACGAAGCGGCCAGACAGTAACGGCGGCATCTGCTACTGGCCAACATGTTAGCCGCCTATTTCACGTCAGGGATCGCATTTCTGGCTCGGACTTTTTAGTCGATACTGGAGCAGAAATCAGCATCATCCCACTCCATCTCTCCCGCAGACAACAGACAACAAGCACTAAATTGTCCTTAATAGCGGCTAACGAATCAGTTATCAAAACTTATGGAGAACAATCTCTTATATTAGACGTCGGGCTCCGCAGAAGATTCACATGGGTATTCATAGTTGCCCAAGTCAAACGACCCATCCTCGGGGCTGATTTTCTTAGTGCGTACAACCTGTTAGTAGATATGACCAACAAGAGACTAATCGACGTAAACACACGTTAACAGGTAAATGTTGCGCTCTCCAATGACAACGAGATCCAGGGTGTTCGGATAATGAAACCTTGGAACAACATCTTCAACGACATTCTAACAGAATACCAGTGCATTACGAAATCAGATTACCAAAAGGAGAGTAACCCACAGCTGGTGCAACACCATATCACTACCACCGGACCACCCACCCGCGCCATGGCGAGAAGACTCCCTCCAAACAAGTTGCAGTTCGCTAAGAGAGAATTCGAACACATGATGCAACTTGGAATAATCAGACAATCTAACAGTCCTTGGGCCTCGCCGCTGCATATGGTCCCCAAGAAAGATCAGGACTGGCGCCCATGTGGAGATTATCGCAGATTGAATAACCAGACGAACCCAGACAGGTATCCGATCCCTCATCTACATGATTTTTCGTTAAACCTACATGGAAAACAGATTTTTTCAAAGTTAGATCTCGTTCGAGCATATCATCAAATACCGATGGCACCTGAGGATATCGAAAAAACAGCCGTTATCACACTTTTTGGCTTGTTTGAATTCTTGAGGATGCCTTTCGGACTTAAAAACGCCGCTCAAACCTTTCAGAGATTTATGGACGAAGTAACTAGAGGTTTAGATTTTGTGTTTGTCTATATCGACGATGTTTTGATCGCTAGTTCTTCCACTGAAGAACATATTCAACACTTAAACACGCTTTTTGAACGTTTCAAAAGTTATGGTGTTGCAATCAACCCTTCGAAATGTATAGTTGGCGCCTCATCACTGGAATTCCTGGGACACCACATTGATTCTTAAGGAATTAAACCACTTGAAGAGAAAGTCAAAGCCATAATCAGCTACCCAGAACCGACCTCAGTAAAATCACTACGGCGTTTCCTTGGAACATTAAATTTTTATCGACGATTTTTACCCAATTGTGCCGAGGTACTACAACCCTTAACGGATCTACTAAAAAATGATAAATCGTGTAGCAAAAAGAAGAACCAACAATTCCAGTTATCCTCTGACGTCAAAATGGCATTCGAAAAAGCGAAAAACTTGATCGCCGATGCTACTATGCTACAACACCTAAACACTGACCCCCAAACGCATCTGATCCTGTGTACGGACGCATCCCAAAAAGCTGTAGGGGCAGTGCTACAACAACGGGTTAATAACACGATTACGCCAATCGCCTTTTTCTCTAAACGGTTATCACCTGCCCAAGAGCGGTACAGTACATTTGGGCGAGAACTTTTAGCTATGTACTTAGCTGTCAAACACTTCAATTTTCTACTACAGGGTCGTGACTTTACTATTATGACGGACCATAAACCCCTGTGTTACTCATTTAATATGTCATATGATAGACACTCTCCACGTGAAGCGAGACAACTCGATTATATCTCGCAATTCACCACAGACATCCAGTTTATCAAAGGCCATACCAACGTTGTCGCAGACGCATTGTCTAGAAAGGATATCAATATGACGGTACTTAATCAGGACATCAAACTTGAAACCTTAGCCAAATTACAAGCAGACGATGCAGAATTGAAGGTCTGTAGAGAAAAGTCTAGCTTGAACCTAAAATCGGTACCTATTCCTTTCTCAGACGCATCCATAATTTGTGACACTTCAACAGGCAATAATCGCCCTTTTGTCCCTCAGGCTTGTCGACTAAAGCTATTCCAACACTTGCATGGTTTATCACATCCGGGCATCCGAGCTACTACAAAGCTGATGACTGAACGTTCTGTTTGGCCGAAAATCAGTTCAGATATTAAACGTTGGACACGTGGTTGCCTTCAGTGTCAACGTAGTAAGATCCAAAAGCATACTATTAGTCCAATCGGCAAATTTCCTATTCCGGATAGACGTTTTCAGCACATCCATTTAGAATTAGTAGGACCTCTACCTTCGTCAAATTCTTTTACTCACATCCTCACGGCAATAGACAGATTCACTCGATGGGCCATTGCATGCCCCATCAAAGACACATCAGCTGAGACTGTAGCATCCGTTTTTCTAGACCGATGGATATCGCACTATGGTGTACCGACAACCATCACAACTGATCGTGGTCCCCAGTTCCAGTCTATCCTGTTTCAGGAGTTCACAAGACTTCTGGGCGTAAAACACATCAGAACCACAGTTTACCACCCGGCAGCAAACGGCATGGTTGAAAGATTTCACCGGCAATTAAAAAGCTCACTCATGGCTCAAACTGATTCAACAAATTGGAGTGATGCCTTGCCGCTTGTTCTCCTTGGGATTCGTGCCACGGTGAAGGAAGACATAGGTTGTACACCCGCCGAGTTAGTCTATGGTACAACTCTAACGTTACCGGGCCAACTAGTCAACTGTGAACCTACAACGCAAGAAGATGCTACTCATTTCGCAAGTTGCCTATTACAAGTGATGCAGAACATTAGAGCAATACCACCGCGAGAATACAACAATCCAGTCCATCTCGACAAACATTTAGAAACGTGCAAATTTGTTTTTGTTCGAGTAGACGCGGTGAAAAAGCCACTGACACCACCATATGAAGGTCCGTATAAAGTAATAAAACGCACTTGCAAATATTTCATTATCAACAAAAACGGAAACAATGAAACCATTTCCATAGACCGAATTAAACCAGCTTTCTACGAACCCCCTCAAGCCACTGATGACAATACGGCGAACAAACAATCACTCCCATCATTTGCTAAGAAACAAGAGGAAGAGGAAAAACTCAGCACTACACCCTCTTGTTTAACACGATCTGGGAGACTTATTAAAAAACCCAAACGTTATGTACATTTCATGGACTAACACAATCAATCAGTTGTATGCATTACTTTGTGAAGTTACGCAATCTTCTAATAAAAGATATTTATTTTCCCTACATGTACATTTAATAACTACATTTATTTGTTTTCACTGGTTTTGCCAATTTTTTTTAATAAGAAAAAATTGTCATAGTAATAAACGAGTGAATGCTAATTAACTATTTATTAAATTCATCCATTTTTTTTATTTTTTATTTTATGACTCTGTTAACAGTTTTGCACATTTTATTATTATTATTAGCAAACCGAAACTTTGTAATGTTTGTTCTTCAGTTTCAATTGCGTAGCATAGCGTATATTATTAACGTGCCATTTATTCCTATTTCCAATTTTTTTTCCGTTATTACAGTAAATACTATTTTATGTACATTTATATACAATATTTCTCAATTTCTGTTCTTCATATTGTAAACAGTGTTACCTCCGGACACTCTGGGGGGAGCTATGTGGAGATAGAACCTTAAAACCTATTTTGTAAATAATTTTTCATAGTTTTCGCATGTATTTTCATATTCTGTACATTAGGCATTAAACATTTGTACTTGTTGTTTAACTGTATTACTTTGAACGCTTGAAACACTCGACTTCCTTCCGTTTTGAGTACAACATATCGTGACACTGTTACTGCTTCTCAATAAATACGCTCTAAATAAAGATAGAACAAATATTGATGCAGAATAATATGAATTCATTATATTTCGTGGTTTCTCATCAGCTGCTTACAACCAAATATGCATTAGAGTTTTAGCATTAGGGTAATAAATAGAATGGAACAACTGACATAAGGGAATGTAAAGGATTGGAATAACAAAAGTCATCGATGATAACTATATATATATATATATATATATATATATATATATATATATATGGGCAAGGAAAGGTCAGAGGTTATTAGGTATTAGAATAAAGGGTAGCATAATAGTTGAGTGGAGTTCAGAGACAGATAAAATCAAAATGTGATTATGTTAGAGGTAGTTGAAAACAATTAGGGTGGGATTGCGTGATGATTGAATAATTTATAGACGTAGTTGAAAACAATTAGGGTGGGTTACGTAATAATTGAATAAGATTTGGATAGTTCATATAATTAGGAGTGACAAATGAGCGGAAATGTGTGAGAGAAAGGGTGGTTTAAGAATTGGGTATAAAAAACAACTGAATATTAACCAAATTTGAACTAATTAAAAAAAAACTGAAACAAAACAAAAATGGGTTACCAAGGTAGTAATAAGTTTATCACTGTCTCTTTTTGAATACATAGGTCCGGTTTGAGTTTTTTTATCGCGATCGCCTCAGCAAACCGGAGAGCAGTTGTACTTCTTTGTTTACTAATGATTTTAAAGGCATTAGAAATGTCGATGCTGTGCCCGGTGTCGAGTAAATGCCGAGCTATCGCACTGTTGAGAGCCTTGGACCCTTGCAACCTCAGTTTCTTTGGAATATGCTCAGAAATGCGGATATGCACTCTTCTCTCGGTTCTTCCAATGTATGTGCTTCGGCACGTACATGTAAATTGGTAAATGCAGTTGGAGGTACTGAGAAAAGAGGACTTATCGATTTTGGTTTGTTTGAGTGAGCAATTTGTTTCCCACACCGTCGTCAATTTAGCTGCTGGGTAGGTCACTTTCAACGCGGAATTAAGTCTATGGTTAATTATTCCAGCGATTTCGTCACCTTTGAAGCGTAGGTATAGGAAGCATGTTTTCTTTTCAACTCGATCATACTTTATTCGACGACTGGTGTTTGCATATTTGTGGATGAACTTCTCTGGATATGCATTTCCACGTAGGCATTTGATGATTAAGGCTATTTCTTCCTCAAGACACTCATTGGAGCAGATTTTACGTGCGCGGTCGAAAATACCCTTTTTGTAACTCATCGGGCAGAAACTGTAGTAATTGAGATACAGTCCACTCCAAGTATTTTTGTGGTGAACATATCTTAGCAATGTACCCGCTGGTGTTCGTCTAATTCCAATATCTAGGAAATGGAATTTATTTTCGTCTTCATGTTCCATCGTAAATTCTATATCCTTGTGTGCTTTGTTAAATAAATTGAGCAGATTGATGGAGTGTTTATGATTGTCACAAATAAGAAAGGTGTCATCCATGTATCTGCAGTATAGTGTGGTACTATCGATAGCATGCTTAAGCTTCTTCTGTTCGAGGTTCCCCATAAATAAATAAGTCCACTTTTCTCAGTACCTCCAACTGCATTTACGAATTTACATGTACGTGCCGAAGCACATACATTGGAAGAACCGAGAGAAGAGTGCATATCCGCATTTCTGAGCATATTCCAAATCTTATTCAATTATTACGTAATCCCACCCTAAATGTTTTTCAACTACGTCTATAAATTATTCAATCATCACGTAATCCCACCCTAATTGTTTTCAACTACCTCTAACATAATCACATTTTGATTTTATCTGTCTCTGAACTCCACTCAACTATTATGCTACCCTTTATTCTAATACCTAATAACCTCTGACCTTTCCTTGCCCATATATATATATATATATATATATATATATATATATATATATATATATATATATATATATATATATATATATATATATATATATATATATATATAGTTATCATCGATGACTTTTGTTATTCCAATCCTTTACATTCCCTTATGTCAGTTGTTCCATTCTATTTATTACCCTAATGCTAAAACTCTAATGCATATTTGGTTGTAAGCAGCTGATGAGAAACCACGAAATATAATGAATTCATATTATTCTGCATCAATATTTGTTCTATCTTTATTTAAATTCATAAAGGGAACTAACTGCATGAAATACGCTCTAATTCACATCTACATCGTTCTGCCATGTCTGCTAATATGTTGAATGAAATATTAATTGCATACCATCTACGTTTATAGATAACTGCGACATTCTTATTGAATTCTACGCTTGGTAAACCTACTGGATCTATATCGTCCATATTGGGATTACTAATTTGTTATAATTGTGGATTATTTGGATCAAACCCAGCCGAACACGCAATAGCCTGAAGATTAAGTAACGTCCCTTATTTTGTGATTTCTGTGTGTAACTACCTTATCAACTGTTAAATGTTACATAAAATATAGACGAATTATTTTTGTTGCTAATTTTTGGTTATTATACATTTTGGTCCACCACAAGAGCCAGACATGAGCAGTATAGCTCAATCCCGCCGCCCCTAGACAGGAGAACCACACACTATACACGCTTCAACGCTACAATCTGACCAGCACAGCTCAATCCTGTGGCGCAACCACACAGGTACCAAGTACTCTGGTGGACCATTCGCACCATTCGTATATACACTCACATCACATGTATCACATGTATTTCGATCAGTGATTGCGTAAGAACGCTTGAAACCCATTGTCTGGTGTCGGAATAGTAGGACAACACCACCAAGATCATTTTTATCTCATTTGCGAAATTTTCATGTTTCCGACTCTCCAGACCCTGAGTTAGGGGTACTACCCCTATATAACATGGCGAGTAAGAGCAGGTGTAAATAGTAAAATTTCAATTTCCATGTACATGTACATGTTATACATCATTTAATAGCACTTCATTAGATAATTTGCAAAAAGGAAACCCCTTCGAAAAATATTAATCCATTCAAAAGTTATGAACAATGAAATAATAGTTTCAAGACAAGTGATTCAGATGCCTCTTAAAATACTTTCATATTGTATGGTTGATCACAGTTAAACATTGTAGTTATATAATATACCCTTGTGGGTCAGGGTAATTTTACATTACTTTTCAGGAGAATCAGACACCATCCACACTTTCATATGACAATGTGGAGACAGTAGAGTTCAATCTCGTTTAATAGGAGAGTCAGACATCGCCTAGCTCAGGCTTAACCCGAGCAGTATAGCTCAATCCCGCCGCCCCTAGACAGGAGAACCACACACTATACACGCTTCAACGCTACAATCTGACCAGCACAGCTCAATCCTGTGGCGCAACCACACAGGTACCAAGTACTCTGGTGGACCATTCGCACCATTCGTATATACACTCACATCACATGTATCACATGTATTTCGATCAGTGATTGCGTAAGAACGCTTGAAACCCATTGTCTGGTGTCGGAATAGTAGGACAACACCACCAAGATCATTTTTATCTCATTTGCGAAATTTTCATGTTTCCGACTCTCCAGACCCTGAGTTAGGGGTACTACCCCTATATAACATGGCGAGTAAGAGCAGGTGTAAATAGTAAAATTTCAATTTCCATGTACATGTACATGTTATACATCATTTAATAGCACTTCATTAGATAATTTGCAAAAAGGAAACCCCTTCGAAAAATATTAATCCATTCAAAAGTTATGAACAATGAAATAATAGTTTCAAGACAAGTGATTCAGATGCCTCTTAAAATACTTTCATATTGTATGGTTGATCACAGTTAAACATTGTAGTTATATAATATACCCTTGTGGGTCAGGGTAATTTTACATTACTTTTCAGGAGAATCAGACACCATCCACACTTTCATATGACAATGTGGAGACAGTAGAGTTCAATCTCGTTTAATAGGAGAGTCAGACATCGCCTAGCTCAGGCTTAACCCGAGCAGTATAGCTCAATCCCGCCGCCCCTAGACAGGAGAACCACACACTATACACGCTTCAACGCTACAATCTGACCAGCACAGCTCAATCCTGTGGCGCAACCACACAGGTACCAAGTACTCTGGTGGACCATTCGCACCATTCGTATATACACTCACATCACATGTATCACATGTATTTCGATCAGTGATTGCGTAAGAACGCTTGAAACCCATTGTCTGGTGTCGGAATAGTAGGACAACACCACCAAGATCATTTTTATCTCATTTGCGAAATTTTCATGTTTCCGACTCTCCAGACCCTGAGTTAGGGGTACTACCCCTATATAACATGGCGAGTAAGAGCAGGTGTAAATAGTAAAATTTCAATTTCCATGTACATGTACATGTTATACATCATTTAATAGCACTTCATTAGATAATTTGCAAAAAGGAAACCCCTTCGAAAAATATTAATCCATTCAAAAGTTATGAACAATGAAATAATAGTTTCAAGACAAGTGATTCAGATGCCTCTTAAAATACTTTCATATTGTATGGTTGATCACAGTTAAACATTGTAGTTATATAATATACCCTTGTGGGTCAGGGTAATTTTACATTACTTTTCAGGAGAATCAGACACCATCCACACTTTCATA